GAATCTTGAACTTAAGACATTAAGATATAAATCGACTTTTTCTTAAAAACTACAAAAATATGTAACTATTTATTTTTTAATTTTAGATTTACCTAATAGCCTTTCTATGTCTTGTCGCATAATTTGGAAGAAAAAATTGGCTTCTAAAATTAAAAACAAAATACATTTTAATGTACCTACATATTATTTATGATTGAATCCGATATGTCATATTGGTATTGGTCAATAGGTACATATGATTATTTATCAATCATATGAAGTATTTATAAATAATAAATATGCAATAAGTATGATAAATATGAAATATAAAATGGGGTTTTTACTTTGCAATATTGGAAGTAATGGAAGTTCTGAAAGTAAAATAAAAATTATATGTGTATAAATAATATCAAACAACTGCGTTGAAGCGCTTCTATAAAAAACAATGAAAATTATTACGTGGTATTGTGCGCATAATTTCCGGATGGTCTGAAATGAATAACACATTAATAATGATATTGCATATACTTTTTTATGCAATTATAAACAGAAAGACGAATGTCAAGTTAGGAAAAACATGTGTACTAAAAACTCAGAAGAAATATGCGGAAATATATGGAATATATTTAAGAATATTAAATATTTAATACGGTGAGAATTTCTTTGGAGAATTCAATAGGAACGAAGTATTAGAAATGTTTTCATAAGATTCAACAAAGACTATTACCCGGTACAGCTAACAAAAAATTAAGTTTGCCTGAAATTACACAAATTAATGATATTGATTTGCATTTGTTATAATAAGTTATTACATTATATAATAATAAATTAGAAGACGATGGTCAAAGTAGAAAAAACTATTATATATACTAGAGAATCCTTGTGAAATGTAATGGCTGAGTTGATTTAGTTTAGGCAATGAGAATAAAACATCTTAATCGGACGAGGATGATAGAGCTATCATATTTTTTAGTATTTTTTTCATTAAGCTTCTATTAAGATACGGTGAAAAATATAAGAATTATAACACATCAATTGCAAAACGATAAACTTGAGATGTATTTTTATAATATTTTCAAATATTTTTTTCTACTTTTATCTTGATGTTTTTTATTATTATAATTCGGATTACCGAAATGCCTGTATTTCTCTACATTATCAACCATTGTCTCAATTACATGCTCCAATGCATCTACAATAAACAATGAAGATTATTGCTATACTAAAATATTTAAATAAAATAAAATTAGGTACCATACAAATGTTTAGAAAAATATTAAACTTGGATTTGAGCAGTAGCCATTTAATTTCTCCCTCGATAAGATTATTAGAAATCGCTAATTTATATATATTATTTGATTGCTCTATACACTGTTCTAAATATCTAATGCACTTTTCTTAACTATTGAAAAAACAATAATTTTTAATTTTTTAATAACTTAACATTCAGGTACTTGTAACACAACTTCTACATATATATTAGTATATTATTTTAAATATATCTTACTTGTTTCTGTACCATTTGTACCTTCTACAGTTAAATCATTTGCAATTGCCAAGGCTTCAGCTGTGATACATAATTAAAAAAGTATGTAAAAACAGTGGATTTTGAAAACTTCAAAAAAGATTTGTTTGTAAAATAAAAATGTAACTGACTTGTAATGAAAATATAACTCATATATGTTCCCTCTGTAAAAATTGAAATATTAAAATATTATTCAAATTTTATCTACCTTTAACTGATAACTGTGAAAATAAAGTAATTACCATTTGCCAAAACACCCACGAAGAAAATAGGTATTAATAAACAGAGGAGTTTCATTTTTATCTGCGAATAATAATAAATAAAAAACATTTTATGACAGTTACAATTTCCTCCGGGTCAGAGATAAGAAGGTTATGGATTTTCAAGGCAGTTTTAATATGATAACATGTATGAAAAACGAAACTCATTGCTAGAAACAAAATATAGAAATCGTTCTGGGAACAGTATAAAATAAATCATCTTCATTTATATAAAATTTGTATTGTGATTTTAAACTGAGTTTTCGTGATAGCAGTCGTTCAGTCCATGATGAGTAAATAGTATTTTGACAAAAAGGCGCGTATTCCAACGAGATAAGTTCGGAAATGTGTTCAAAAATTAAACCTGATTTAACCTTTGACCTATCATAAAGATAATGAGAAATTTTACGCAAAATGCAACAGTTTTTTACTTAAACTCAAAAAAGTTATAAAATTAATTATTTGGCCTTTTTCAACCCCCTGAGTCACGTGAAGGAGGTGAATCATAAGAACTCAGTTCTGCCTAAATTTTTTGTTCACAGCAATGAACAAAATGGACGGAATATCTCATTGAAAAAACTTTAAAAAAAAATTTCTATGACTAAGGACCAAGGAAATAAATCGTTTTATATACAGCTAATAATAATCAATGCATACTATAACCATAATTGTAATTTGTGTGATACACTAGTATCTATCTAAGTTGATGTTATGCATTTTGTGTGAGAATTGAGATAAACAAATATTGTATTACGTACGCCAAAAAAATCGATTGTTCATATAATATAAAAGAAAATTTGAGCGAATGTTATATATGTCTGATTATCAGTAACAGTAATATCGATAGGGATCAATATTATTATATTAATGGCAAATAGAAGTGCTTCTAATATTGATTTTAAATCCAAACCTTTACAAAGTCATAGCAAACGATCAGATAATTGAAAATTACAAATTTAAAACGCTAAATATATTTTAAAATATTGTTTTTTTATGGATTTTTGAAAGTAAAATAACATACATTCCAATTTAAAAAACTAAAGGCAAGTATCCCCTTACGTATAGGGGTTGAAGAAAAAAATATTATTAGTATTGAAAAATGTAGAAAAATATATATACCTACAAGTGTAGGTAGACAATTTTTTTTAAATATGTATATCTTCCACCAGTTGGATTACCTTGTAATTTTTTACTCCATCCACAATATTTCCTAGGCGGCTAACTGTTTTTTTTTTTTGTATAGGAAGGTAGAAATCTAACTTGAAAGGTACTTTATGTGGCCAAAACTACAGTTATTTCGATATTTAAGATGCATTGTATAAAAAAGTTAGGCTAAACTATTAAAAATAGAATCTAGAAAAAGTATTTAACGAAATGTTGTTATTAAAGTTAGACTTTATAAAGTGACATTATACTCTTAATTTTCAAGCGTCTAAACTTGACTACGCATAATGCTCCTTAATCAACCCATAATGGATTTAAAGAGTTTTTAGGGAAAGAAGATAGCTTTTTAGAGATAATGTCATATTAGTTTTAAAAAAATTTCCTCAAAAATAAAATTAGTGCCGTTATAAAAAAATATTGAAATATCTTTTTAAATAGTACTCTAAGATGTCCAGAAAAATTTTAATTTTATAAATCGTTTCATAATAGCTCAAAAAAGTAGCTCTTGATATTAAGTAAAAAAATTATTTCGTCGGAGTCAAAAAAGGAATATAAAAAAAAAAGATTTATGAAAGTCAAAAAAGAAGTATGATTAAGCTTTTTTTATCATAACTCATAAATAAAATCTTATTTTTAGAGGGTATTAATTTCTGTCTAATTTACGTGCAAAAATTGGGTTTTATCGTTTTGTTTTAAAATTGTCAAAAATAAAATTAAAAACTTTTAAACATGCAAAAAAAATGTTTTCTTAATTTTTAAAGTGAATTATTAAGTTTCTCTTAGAAAATTGACTTTGTCTTCACTGCAGACTAATTTATTTTTACAATGACAAAAAAAAACAAAAAATACGGAGGTGAAAACATTTTTTTTATATATTTATATTACATTTATAATGTGTATACAATTATCATGCAAAAAATAAATTATAGGTGCTCGGTGCTCTTTAGTAAGTCAAATAAGAAAATGTATGAAAAGTGATGTATTATAAAAACGATTTTAAAAACTGACTTTTTTTCTGCCTTTGCTTTAGTACACTTTAAGCCTAATGACGAAAAAAAACAAAAATTCTATTATATAGTTCCCTTCAAAATGTGAATTGTGTAAAATCATAATAAATTAAGTATCGATAAAAAAATAACTAGCAATGGAAAATCCTTATTGCTATTTTTTAACACTATAAGTTTTGACTCATTCATGCCTTTTTAATTTAGCGTTATTACAATTTTTTTAATTAAATATCAATACTTACTTTATCTGTGGAGTTGGTTAGAGGTTCTTGTACAACAATTTAATTGAACAGCTTTTCAAACTAAATGTACTATTTGCGACTTATTAATGGGCTTATATACATATTTACTGCCACCAAAAAATCACAATGTAAATATAGTTTTGCAGTGTAGATAATATGTTGGTTTATTTACACAACTGGTTCTTTTTTTTTTTGTGATTTATCGTGCACTTGCATTATTTAGCAATCGGTGTTTTGACTATGGTTTTCTATTAATACATTTTTTTTTAAGGTTTTACAAAAACTGTTTCAACATTAAAAATTTGAATTACTAAAACTCTAATAACGTACATTACATTATGCTATGTTATAATTAATTAAAATTGACTAATCATTTTCAGCAATAATTATTAGTAAATTGCCTTATGCTAATTATGTTTAATCTAAAACAATGGTCAGACCTCTGTGTTGTTAAACGATCTTGAATAAATTGTTTTGACGGCTTTTTGGTTAGTTTATTGGTTATGATAATATAACTGTGTGAAATTAGAGTTTTAGTCAACCTCAGCAAGTTTTCTACTGTAGTTACCTTGATTGTAAATAATACACATTCACAACATTATGTTTGTCTACAAATTGTGAATAATAACTAGACGTCCTTCTTCAACGTGCCCTGACCCCATTGTGCCCCCTTTTAGTTTAAAATGTTCTCTAGTCTAAAATCGTTCAGACATAAACACCAAAAACAGTTCACGAAACTGCCATAATCTACTTTGCAAGGTTTCACTCTAAGCTCAATGGTCATCGGAAACAACTCACTTATAATGTAATGAAATAAAAGAGAGAGAGATGAACGGATTAGGTTGGGACGAATTATAAATATCAAGTTCTTTAAGCGAGATAAATGTGTGTGTGTTGCTTACTTATCCTAACTCTTCCGAGTTCTATCATTACTCTAAAATTACTATTATATAATAGTTCCACGTACCTTATTCTGGTTCAGCGATGATGTAGATGATGTAGCTAATTTTGCTCAATCGGCGAAAGTGTTAGCTAGTGAGAGTAAATGCCGGCCGTAAGTAAAGAGGATAGTATGATGGAAAGAAAGATAAGAAAGGGAGTTCGCCGTAGGGGCGGATTTATCAATTGGCGGATAGTCAAAATAACCGTACAAAAAATAATTAAACACACGCGGTTAAGAATAAAATAACGAAATAATAAAGTAGATTAAAAAATTAATCTAAAAATAACGTTTTTATGCGCTTTAAAAAGTATAATACAGGTATATACAAGGTCTCCCAACCGGCGTTGCCCGTGTCTTAGAATAGACACACAATCAGCTGATCGGATCACTGTATCCCGTGGTATGAAAAACCATAGAGATGTATTGATACTTGATCTATTGATAATCATAATTAATCATTTTGATTAATTGAAAATTAAAAACATGTTCTATCGCATCAAATTCTGAATTTAAACCTTTCTTGAATCAACTTAATCGCGCACACAAAATTTTATAAAAATCTGTTTAGGAGAAGTTTGCATACTTACACGCGGACAGAAGAAATTTATATATAAAGAGGCAAATGTTTTTAATTTAATATAAGTAAAATTGTAAGTTTGATTTATGTATTATTTTTTTTGGGAGGTAAAAAGGGAATGTAAGTTTTCAATTTTTGTATTTTTTTACTAATTCAAAAAAATTAATGAACCGAAAAAATATTTTTTAATGAATTTAGGAAATATTATATTATTATACTATTTAATATTATAAAAATATTTAAATACGATTTGACTTAAATATGCACGTAATAGTTTAGAATCAAAAAATTAAATATATATATAGGGTGATTCTTTTATCGATATCTAATAGGGTTTAATAAGATATTAATTTTTTTTTTCCATACTGTTTTTATACTTTGTGATCTCAATTTTTAACATTTTTTTTTATTTTCACCACCATCTAACTAAGTTTTACTTGATAGCAACTTTTAAAACTTAATTGGTAACGTAAATATTTTATTAATTTTTTAAATTGAAAATAATGTACTAAAAAAATTGACAGGTCGATGACCAGTTTCGGATAATTATTTTTTTAAGTTATATGAATTTTAAAGTTAGGATGGGAGGGGAAGTGCAGTTGGGAAATGCGCGCGGATAAAAATAATACTACACTCCACTTCCCCTCCCATCCTAACTTTTAAACTCTTATAATATCAAAAATAGTTTTCCGAAACTAGTTATCGAACAGTCAAAATTTGAATTACATTATTCTTAATTTAAAACGTTAATAAAATATATACGTCATCATTTAAATTCCAAAAGTTGCATCAAAAAAACTAAGTTGGGAGGGGGGCAAATAAAAAAAAATGTTTGAACAATTGAGATCAGTATGTATAAAAACCATATGAAAAAAGTAATTTTAAATTCTTATTAAGCCCTATGAGATATTGGGTGATTTATAAAAAAAATATATATATTATAATTTAATAAATATTAAAAATTATAAAAATATTAAATGTTATTAATTTAATAGAAGCAAAAGTGTAAGTTTTACTTATGTGCTTTTTTGGGAGGGGTAAAAGCGAATTTATATTTTTAATATTTGTATTTTTTTTACTAATAAGATTAAAAAAAAAAAGAAACCAAAAAAATAGTTGTTTTTTTTTTAAAAATTAGAAAAAAATTAAATTATAAATGCTGGTGTACCAAGTATCAGTATCAAGTAGTAGCATTATAAAAATAATTTTATTAAATGCTGTTGTAATCATGTTATAAAAGTAAATAGAAAATCAAAACAATGTGTGTAACATTTTATAGCAAACATATTATACTTTATAATATAATATAAAAAAAATTAGAAAATTATTAAAGACTTATTTGTTATAAATTAATATATAAAATAATAAATAAATCAAATACACTTTAGCTGTTCAAAAAATTATACTATTATTAGCTTTAATGTTTTAATAACCAAATAAAAAATATATATAAAAATTAATCTGGAATGAGTTCATTTTTTTTTTATACGAAACAAAACGTATACTTTAAGTTAACAAAAATTTACATTTATTATAAATGTTGGAATTACGGATACTAATAATTAAATTATTAAATTAAAGAGTGATAGAACTTAATACTTAGTAATTTACAAGTAGTAAAATGTATTAATTTTTATGGTTTAACATTTATTATAATTAATGAATTTTACTCAAATGATTAAGTTACGACTCTAGTTTTAGTCTAATATATTAAAAGCATTTTTTAAAAGACAATGTTAGAAAATAATTTTAATTTCAAGTATTTATGACGAATTTTATTTGGAAATCCTTAAGCTAAAATAATAGTAGTTTCCTAGAGAGTGTCTATTTAGGCAAATTTTATCATTATATTATAAACGATTCAGAAAAATATTGAAAAAACTTAATAGTTTATAAAAAATCGCCATCGATAAATATTCATAAATTTCATGCAGAAAAATACGTCGACCTAACGACAAAAACAATGTATACAATTGTCAATGTTCGAATTTCACATTTTTTTTTTTTTGCACATCTTAGTGGTACTTTTGACTTTGAAAATTTCGTGGGACCAGTAATAAAATACTTAAGTACTTAAAATGTAATATTTGGTCTTGTGCAGGGTAGACACGATAAGGGTTGATCGTCTGTCTATAAAAATGTAATGCTATAGTTACCCATATATATCGTAATAAACAATATAATGAAAATTATTTCATTACATGTTGACTGTTGATTTACATACACATAGCAACCTAGAAACTGACTACGGCCAAAGGGTAACTTTACCCTATTTTCGAGGGTTTTCCTCAATAAAAAAAAATTTGACTACAGATTTTTGAGAAAATTATGTATGTTATAGTTCCATTTTAGAACTACCTTCGGTCTAATTTTCAGATCAAAATCTCTAAAACTTTTCTTGAAAAAGTAAAATAAAGAAAAAATTTCTACCCTCCTAAGGAAAAGGGTTTATGATATGTTTTCGGTTTGTTAATGTTTATCGATAGTACTATGTTTGAAGAACAATTCATATAAATTTGGAACATTTTCCACTATTTTTAAAAAGTTATAGAGCATCGTAATTTTAAGTTGAAAAATGTGTACATTATTTAGGTGTTTTTCTCGATTTTGATGGGGAAGGGGTGACTTTTTTTAATTTTTTTGCCCAATAAGGTACCTTCCAGGTATGATTGCTAATCTATAGAGTTGCTCCACGAAGAAATCGGTTCAGCGGTTTACGAGATATCGTGGGTCAAGAAACAAAAATAAAAACACATCATTGCAAAAACCATACCTTCTCAGTTATGCACCGAAGCTAAAACAGTATTCCCGAATCGTTTCTTTGTCTAATATGTTATGAATACATCATATTATAAGTTCTAACTCCTGACAATTATTTTCAAATAATAGGCCCTAAAATTACGGCTAAAAACACAAATATCTTGCAACCCCCGTGGCGGCCAAGCAAATTGGTATTTTTTTAATTTTAGTCTAACGGCGTACAGGGGAAAATTAAGTCCATTTTCTTTATACGTTTTAACTCGATTCGACAATTTTTATTATTTCACGGGTGTGATCCGATTAAGAATTATTATTATGTTAAAAGTTAAAACGACAGTCTTGATTTATTATGTTTGTTTCCATTGACTACTTTTCGTGCATCGATAAAAAAAAAAAAAAATGATAAATCGTTTTAAAACAAACACCTAATATTAATACACGTGTACTTTCAAGTAAATTGCAAAAAAACGTTATTCTAATATTTTCGATAAATTAAAAAATACACTAAAATTATATTCTTATAATTAATGAATCACCCTGTACTTATATATATATATGCCTCACCCTATTTGATTCTGATACCAGCGGACTATTGGTTTGTCTTGGCCTAAAATGAGTCCCTAATTTTTTTAATTGTCATTTTAATTTTAAATTCGCCGGCATCTTAAATATTTTTTCAACATTTATAAATTTATTGTTAAAACATTTTTTGATAGAATAACACTGAAAAAAAACTATGTTTTCATCATAGTTCGAAAATGGGATGAGTACAACATAGTATACTGTAAAAGTTTTTTTTACATTTTCAAAAAATTAACTC